AGTGGGGACCTACCCAGATCCTACTCAGCACACCCAGCACACCCTGGACAGCGGGGACCTACCCAGGTCCCATCAGCACACCCAGCCCACCCTGGGCAAGGAGACCTACCCAGCCATTCGTTGAACTTCTTCACTTCACTTGGGAGCCCCAGCTCAGTGAAGTCCCCGGCGTGGATCAGCACGTCGCCATAGGGCATCTGGATGGGGTCCGTCCTTGAGTGGGTGTCAGAGACACAGACGAAGCGGGTGTAGCCAGGAGGCTTAGGGGCATCATGAGGCACCGGGTCTACCCTGAGGCGAGAGAAGACAGCACAGGTCACAGGCGACAGAAGCTGCAGCTCGTGGCCCCACTGGCTCCATCAGATCCAGCAGACCACAAGCTGGGCACCCAGCTTCTGCCTGGGCCTGAAACCTGACTCTCCCTCTCGCTAGCCTGGCAAAACATTCTTGGGCCCCAAGCCTCAGTTTCCCCCCTATGTAAAACAGGAACCTCAGCGGGCAGCTGTGGGGGCTAAAGGAGAGGAGGGACAGAAGGGCTGGTACAGTGAGGGCCTGGCCACTGTGATGATGGGCAGCCCACCCAGTCACAGCTGCACTCCCAGCCTCTCGTTCATTTTCGTCCCCCAGAGGGATCCTTTTTGATGTCTGTTCCTACTCGCCCTCCTCCTGGGAAGTCTGAACGCCATGGATACGCTCTATGTCTGTTACTGTACTGTGTATTCATTTATGCTTTAGACATAAGAAGAGCAAGATTATTTTCCACTTTTTAACCAGTTTTCACCCCTTGGGGTAGCTACTAGTCCCACTGAGAACGGTCAGATGGCACATATGCCATCCAAGCAGAGAAGTATGGGATGGGGAATGTCACGAGAACATGTAAAATAAAGGCATCGTCTCAAAACTATGAGTAAGTCTTGTCATCCTTAAACCAAAGGCCCTCCAGGATTGTGTAGGAAAACAGCCCTAGAATCAGAAGACCAAGGTTTGCATGGCCTGGCTTGTACGTAGCACATCTGTGAAATGGTGCTAATTCACCAAACAAAAACACACAGAAAATTTTAAAACTCAGCACAAATGTAGGTTCTTGTTCCTCATGAGCCCACCATGTGACCGATGAAGACACTGAGACCCAGCTGGGCTGAGTGAGTGGCCCTGGCCCCCTCTGGCGCATACACGTGGAGGTGAGCTAAGACTCTGGCACCAGGCCTGAGGCTCCCCGTCCAGCACTCCCTCCACTCCACACTGCCTCCCTGGCTGAATGATTTTGCCGGGCTCAAAACTCTTAAAAACAACTCGATGACATTTCAACAAGCAGCTCTCTCCAAATGAGTATGCCGCTCGAGGAGTTGTGTTTAAATCTAATTATGCGGCAAACCAAAAGCGGTACCATATCAGTTACATAAATACTTTTAAAGACATCTTTCTAATTATCCTTTTTTTTTTCAGACAATATACTTCGAAGAAATTTAATTAACACCTTGCAAGAGACGTGGGTTCAGCATGCTAATGTGCAGGGAGCATCAGCACGCTCCATCCCCGTCGGAGGCGCTGAGCCAGCCTCTCCCCCATGGGGAGCACCCTCAGTCCCCTTGTGGGAGGCACTGAGCCAGCCTCTCCCCCATGGGGAGCACCCTCGGTCCCCTTCTGGGAGTCGTTAAGCCAACAGAGAGTCCCAGCAGGTCTGGGCGGGGCAGGACAGGGAGGAGAAAGAAATCCCCAACTGAGTCCCCGGATGACCAATCAGGAAGGTGCTAGGAGCTCTTCTCTCTCTATTCATTCATTCATCCACTTGTTTACTCCACACAGCACATCTTAAACGCCTACTGTGTGCTAGCCACAGGCTAATGGTGGAAGCAGACTTGGCCAGACAATGGCAATACAGCCACCTCTACAGACAAGAGGCAATACCTGGGCTGGTCTGAAAGCTGAAATCTCCCTTCCAGTTAATTCCTACCAATGCTCTGTCCTCCCCCAAGAAAGACAGTCCAGTAGCCTTGACTCCACCTGCACCCCCTGTATTCCCCCCGACCTCCAGCTGATTAGATCAAGGGCAGCCAATCACTACTAGGCTCAGGAACACAAGTGAGCCAATCAAATTCACTCATTCATTTTGTCTATCTCTCTTTCAGGTTTTAAAGATGCCACAAGGTGACAAAGACCAAGTCATAGAGACAAAGAAGGGAGACACAGGGAGAAACAGAGCTGCTTCCCACAATCAGTCCTCCAGAGAGCCCTACCTTGCCAAGAAGCTCTAGGTGGGCCACTGCTCCCACCGGCCAGTCAGAAACAGTGAGGACCCTCGGGCCGGGCCTGCTGTGGAGCCAGAGCGCTTTAATTAACTCTGCTCCCATTTGCCTACACCCTGAGGCTCCTGGAGCACGATGCAGATACAAACCTAGCAATCCCCAGAGAAAAAAACAGACTCATTTCCCTACACAGTCCTCCAGCTATTTGGATTGCAACAAACGCTCAACTTTGAAATAACAACAACAATCATGGTATCCACGGTCCCCACTCCGGAGAGCGCTGTGATGTACTCAGCAAGTTATAGGCATTTGTTCTCTGCACCCTCACAGGGACCATGTAAGCCAAGCACTATGAGTAGCCCCACTTTACAGGAGAGGAAACAGAAGCTCAAGAAAAGTAGACTTAGCCCATGATCCCAGCTACAGAACCCAGTAGGGCTGAAATCTGAAGCTGGTTTTTCATTCTAGAACTCACACTAGGCTGGACTTTCCAGGCCCAACTTCATTTCATTCAACCTATAGACAAATGCTTAGTGAATGCCTCCTAAAATCTAGGCACCTGCCAAGTGTAAGGGACACACCTGTGGACACATGGCCCACAGAGGAGCTCCCAGCAACCCTGCCAGTGTTTGACATAACAAAAAGAGAAAGAAGAGTGGAGATACGGAAAGCAGTGCATGATCCGGCACCTGTCATTTGACCCCTAGATCCAGCTATACCTGAAGCTAGGCCCAAACCGAACTTCCTAGCTAATGGCTAGGAAGTAGCAGAGGCTGTTGCCCATTCTTGGGGAAATGGGGTCCTCCGAAGGTCCAAGTGAGGACAGAGGCTCCAACAAGTTCAGCCATGTCACTGGGCATCAACTATTGTGTTTTAGAACAGGAAGGACCTCTAGTCCCTTCCTCTCATTTTACAAATGGGGACACTGAGGCCTGGGGAGGGACAATGACGGCTAGCTCAGGATCATACAATAGCCGCCCTGACTCCCTGCCTGCTGCTTTTCTCATGAAGCGCTGGCTCCAAGGTGACCCAGCCACACCCCGTCCTGCGTCCTGATGCCTCTCAGCCTTTGCTTCTGCTGACCCTTCCACCTAGAGTGGCCAGCTCCACTTAGGCCATGTCCTCCCAGCCCAGGGTTTATGCTGCCACCCCAGGAAGCCCTCCTTGACCCGAGACACTTCCTGGCCCATGCTGCCTGCCTTGACCTCGCTCCCTTTTCTTTCCTTCTTCCCATTCACTGTTCTGGGCTCAAGGGACGCAGCCCCAAGCTGGTGGAGGGGAGAGGCACTTGAGAAATGGCTCCACAAATGGATCCATAAGCACAGACTGAAGCACGTGCCAAGAGAGGAGGAGGGGGGCTCTAAGCACCTGGCAGGGAGGAGGCTGGTCTGGGAGGGGCCGGGGAAACTTCTGTGAAGAAGTGACACCTAGGTGAGATCGGAGAAAGGAATCAGGGTTTGTAAGGCAAAGAGATGGGGAAGCACAGGGAACAGCATGCGCAAAGACCTGAGGCAGGAGGAAGAATGGAACGTTCAAAACACTGGGAAGTGGCTTCTGCATCCTTAGCTCAGTGGACGAGAGGGGCAGGATGAGGCTTGAGAGCTGGATGGTACCTGGGGTTGGGTCCTCTCCTGCCTCGCCCCTGCCCCGCCCCCAAGCTCCAGGTTGAGCCCACTGTCTCCTGGACATGTGGAGGGACCCCATGGTGCTGAGCAGGAGTCCTGGCTGCCTGCACCCAGCTCCTCATCCATAGAGAGGGGTCAGCACATGGGCCTGGCACAGTTGTGAAGGCTGAGGATAAGGTACAAAGGGGCTATTCCAGGTCTGTGTGCACTCCCAGCCCACTCCACGACATTCTCCAAGGACCCAGAGCTATCTGAGTGCCCAGAGGCTCTTCAGAGGGGTGACTCAAGTCTCTCTCCCCTGTGACTCTTTTTAAAGGCCTGAGAGAGTGGCTATAACTGACACCACAGCCCCCAAAGGTCCCTACGGGACAACCCTGCCCCACAGCACTCACTCTTGCCCTCTCACTGAGCACCAGTCTCCTTGTACGCCTCTTACCCTCCAGAGCCCTGGGAGGGCTCTCTCAAGGCCCCCCAGGGTCTCTCTGCCCCAAGCATGAGGCGTCTTCAGGGCCCACAGCCCAGAGGCCCAGGCTGGGAGATTCATTACTCAGGCAAAGGTGGACTCCTTACTGGCAGGGTCTCCAGGGGCAATTACATAAATCATGCAGCTCAATCAGAGGCCATTTGGACTATCACTGTTGTCATTAATTATAAATTGTGGATTTCTTAAATAAGGCCCCGTTGCTCCCTCACCCCAGAGACAAAGCCCAAGGTGGCAACAGGTCGCCTGTTGGGAAGTGGCATCCACCCTCCCACCTCTCCCTGGGTAGGACTCACCACGGAAGCCCACCCAGCCACCTGCAGCGGCCTGCACACTGAGTGAAGGGGGGAGGCTGCAGCCCCCCGTCTCCAGGTCTGCCTTGGCTTTACCTGTGTGCAAAGTCATGTTTCAAAGCTGAAGTCCAAGGCATGCTCTTCCAGGGGCCCCATTCACATCCTCAGAGTTGCCTCAGAGCCCCTCTGGCCTGGAAGGCAGGGACCCTCACAGCCACGGGAGGGGCACAGAGCAGCCTAGCATAGGATGGGGCAGGCCAGGCGTGAGTCCTGCTGGGGCACCTGCCTCCCCAGATGACCCACAGGAGAGCCACTAAGCTCTTCCTCCATGGCACTCCTCACTCCCAGTGTCACACACTTTGCCAACTGTCTGCCACCCCACTAGATGTGAGCTCAGCATAGACAGGGCTGGTCTTTGGCCTCTGCTGGGTCCCCAGCACGCAGCCTGGATCGGGCATGTGCTAACAGTACTAACATCTGCTGCTGCCCACCAGGCCCTTCTCTGCATGGCTTTACCTGTTTCACTGTAGTATTATCATGAGCAGCATTCCATGGTTGGGGAAACTGAGGCCCTGAGAGGCATGAACCTGACCCAGGCAGGCTGGCTCAGAGCCTGAGTTAACCAGCAACTTACCTGGCTGCCTACAAACATCCCGAATGAATGAACAAAGCAGCAAATAACGCTCAGTTGCTCAGTGCAAGGGGAAAAATCATCCCTCGAAGAAGGACATTCACCACTCTTGCTCAGGACACAGTCCAGCCAGCGGAAGGCCCCCTCCCCGTAGCAGCCCTGTCTTACCCAACTGGGTGGCTCTGCAGTTCTCAGACACCCAGGTAGCCCCATGGAGCCTCCTGACCAGCCCACTTCCTCCTCAGCCCCCCCCCTTCTCTGGCTAGCAACCTAGAAGTTAAGGGGGTCCAGAGGCCCCCACGGGGGGTTCTTTCTGGATCCCTAAAAACTGGCAGGAGCCTCCTCTCTGCCTTCCCCTTTTCTCTGGCTCCGTGCTCACACTAGAGGCTCACTGAGTGTCTGCCTGGCCCAGGCAGGAGTGCTAGGAATAACGGCTCTACACCACACTGTCTGTGCTGCCAGGGACCCTCCGAGAGGTGGCAGGGTATACGCACAGGTGCAGACATGCAAACCCCACATGCTCCGGGAGGACCTGGTGCTCTCTCCACTCCCACTGGGCAGGGCTCCAGCCCAGCCTCCAGGGACCTCAGGCACAGTCACTGCCAACCTGCCTGGCCTGAGAACTAACCCCACCCCACTAACAAAAGAGAACCCCCAGCCCGCAGAAGACCCCTCCCTGTAGCAGCCTTGTCGGGGCCCCACGGTCCCACAGTGCAGCGCCTGTGGCCCCGGGCCTTCCATCCTGCCTAAATCCACCAATCTGGCTCCCAAAACAGAAAATCCAAGACACTCTGCAGCCGCTGACAAGGCTGGGCCTGCAGCCCCCACACAAACAAGCGCTGCTGAGACAATGCTGCTCCCACTGCCCTGAGAACCCTTCCTGCCCAGCAGAGGCCCGGCCTGAAGGAGAGCAGGCAGGAAGAAGGCAGTCCCTCCAGGCCACCTCCAGGCTAGGCTCCTTCTCTAAGGGGTCCACATGCCAGTCCCCTGAGGGACGGTGCTGGGACCCCTTGAGAATACCGCCACCAACAGCACTCATAGACTCTGGACCCTCTCAGGAGCACTGGGCCACCCTGTCACAGCTCCCATCCAAGATGCTGCCCCCTCCCCACTCTGCAGGGTCTTGCCCTGCCGGTAGTCTAGACCCAGCACAAGGCAGGGTCCCAGGGTGGCCAGGACACCACAGTATCTAACACCACAGGTCCCAGTGGCTGACACCACAACCAGAGTCGTGGAGACGCTGGGTGTGGAGAGAGCCCTGGGCAGGGGGCAGGCCACTCTGGCATTTGCCTGCTGGGTAGGCTTGGGTGGATCACCTCACTGGCCCCCAGGTTCCCTAAGCTCTGTCACACGGGACCATGGGAAGAGCAATGGGGATAAAGGAGGAGGGGTCCCCTAGGGACATGGGGAGTCACAGCACAGGGCCTAGAGCTTATCCACCTCCACCCTGGGCCACTCATACTTCTCCAGAACTTCAGAGAAAATCCAGGGATTCTGACCCATGCACGGGTTTCGGGCAGGTCCTGAGTGCTGCTCTAAGGGAGTCCCAAGTCTGTGCATCCCCAAGGTGCCCTGATACTTTCCATCAGAGTCCCCAGGGCGAGCAGCAGAATTTCCTCATTCTCCATCTCTGCCCTGACAAGAGACATGAGGGTCTAGAGGAAAGGAAGAGGGACAGTGGCAGTCAGCCCGAGACTAGGGTCCTAACCTGCCACAGGGCCTGTAGCCAGTCCCTGACCCCCTTTGGGGCTCAGTCTCCTCAATGTACAATGAGCAAAGTAAATCAGACTGGAGTCACTGGCCCAAATACCAGCATGGGGAGCAGGAATTGGGCTCCCCAAATGATGCCAAGGCGACATTTTATAAATCCAAGCCAGAAGTCTAGACGCATCCGCCTCATTTTTAAATATTTGTCAAACATTCTCCCAGCCAAATATAACAGGACTGCAGGCCAGAATCGGCCCACAGGCCACCAATCTGCAGCTTCCCCGTTCCCTCCCAACTCAGAGCCCTGATGATCCCGGGATTCCAGAACTGGTTCAGTCAACAAACACGTAAAGCTTGTCAACTGCGTGTGGAAGCCAGGAGGCACCCACCCAGTGGCCGTCACCGCCCCAGCCCGGGGGCCCCACCTGGGCGGCCCACTTACATCTGCACGTGCGGCGGCTGGAAGCGGCCCTGGTTGATGTTGTAGAAGGTGAAGGCCTGGGTAGGGTTGGAGCTGTACTCGTCCACCTCGATGAGGAGCCGGCCGTGCTGGTGCCGCCGAGCGGCCATCACGTGCGACTGGGAGAACGCCATGCCCAGGCCGCAGGGCAGCAGCGCCAGGGCCTCCGCCTTCAGGACGCCGGGATCCCACCTAGAGCGCCACATGGACCTCCGCGGGCCGCCCGGGCATCTCCCGCCGCCGCCGCCCGGCCCCCCGCCAGACCTGGAAGCAGACTGAGGAGACGGAGCAGAACCGTGCGACAGTTAATCTGTTTAGGATTTGCTTTATTTAATGTCAGATGAAGATTTAGAAAGAGGGAGAGGGCGGGGGGAGAGGGGAAAAAAACACAGTCGTACAGCTCAAAAACTCATTACAAATCTTTCCAACTCAGCAGTTTGATGAATATACTTTGGTAAAAAGAAAAGAGCAGGGAGGGAGGGGACCAGGAAAAAAAGGAAAACAACCGGCAGGCTGAGGACGGATGCGTGCAGGGCCCGACGTGTTTAAATACTTCAGGCCTTCCATTTTTGTATTCCTTCAACACAATCTCCCAAAGCCTACAGGGTGACAGGGAGCTGAGGAAAGATAATGGCTGGTATTTTGTAAACAGGTAAGTTAAGTTTTACTCTCAGAATTGGGGATTAGGAAAGAGTCCCCTCCAACCCTAACCTGGCCCACAGTCCCCCAAACACGCCCACATGGCCCCACACACACACCCTTGCAAGCCCGAGCAGGTGGGGACAGCAAGGGTGGGAATTCCGTCCTCAACACCACTTTCACCTAAAGAGATCTCCAAGTGGCAGGGAGAAGGGACTTTCCCAGACACACATTGCCATGCATCTCGGGGCTCAGGGGTGGTGGTGGAAGCTGGGGGGTCAGGAAAGGAGGGATCTGCCTTCCCCAGTACCCCCTTCCCCTCTCCTTACAAGGAACTCAGGGATCCTGATGTTCCCAGCAGGCTGTCAATCTACTCAGAATCACAGTTTTGCAATGCTATAATTTTTTTAAATATGAGTATAGTTTGTATTTAAATTTACTGGACTAAAACGTCCCCTCTGAATGATCCCAACTCGGCTGTGGAGAAACTGGGAAACACCTGGGCGAGACTCTGTCTTACCCCAACACACTCAGATGACAGCTGATGCCTCCTTCCTAAGACTGTAGACTTTTCCCTTTCCTTTTCATAATTATTCTTTTAAACAGTATAAATAGGAAATGCCTTGAAGATTTTTTTTTGTCATTGTTTTCAGTTTTTGGTCATTAAGACCATCCAATGATTCCATTTGCGCTGTATTTAACCAAGGAGAAAATAACATAATTTAAACTATTCCTGGACAGTCATGTCCCAATCACATTAAACGAAGAAAAATCCCCTTTGCTTTGCGCTTGGAAGAAGAATCGACACAGTCAGAAAACAAATTAGATTAGGAAAATGGCAAAAATTAGAGACTGGAGAACATTTTAATTATATGCAAAGGAGAAATGGGTTATTAATTTTTTAAAAACCTCGATCATCTCCATAAAAGGTGAAATAAATAGCAACATCCTCCTTCTCCCCCACCCATCCCCCAAAACTCATCCTGAGCCACAAGACAACCCCTTCTTCTCCACCTGAGAAGGTAAGAAAAAAATTCTACTTTTTCCTCAAGACACACTTGCTCCTAGCTCTTTGTCTCTGCTGTTTCTGAGTGAACCAGCTTTCAGGCGCAGCTGGACAGGCATCTGAGGGGGTTAGTTGGGGTCTCCCAATCTTGGGGCTCACAGAACCAGCTGATCTTGTCCTGTCTGTAACTGCTGCCCTGCCCAAGAAGCCCTGAGAGAGGCCCCAAAGCACCAAGGGCTCCTCCTGCTCTAAGCCCTGGATCGGGACAAGATTTGAGCCTTAGCATTGGCTAACTTGCTGTGTGACTTTGGGCCAACCTCCTAACCTCTCAGAGCCTCAGCTTCATCTTCGGGTATGCAGTTAGATGAGGAAGTAAGCAGGACTCCCGAGTCCAACGCCCGGCAGGCCCCTGGTGCCCAGCTAGCACTTGTTGTAACTATCACAATCACCATTCAGTTCAATGTTGATGCCTGGGGATTGAGAGCCTGCTATCTGCATGTGCTGCCCGGGTACTGGGGCACACATGATGCGGGGATGTCAAGTCTGAGCCCAGGGCCCAGGTAGGAGCTGGGGGTGCCTGCAGGGCCCTGGCAAACTCTCTCAAATGCAAGCTGACCATATCACACCTCTGCTTGAGATCCTTGACACGGCTCTGCATAGTGAGCTCTTAAACCCAGAGACCTTTATTCAGAGCCACAAAATTCCAAGACTTTGCGAGGGGTTTTCTCTCAATGCACCCCACCTAAGAGACAGGTCTGCCATATCTCTCATTTTGCAAATGAGAAGGCCAGGTCTCAGAGAAGTGAAGTCTCCCACCAGTGTGGCAGACACCTAGACGCTGGCTGCCCAGCTCCCAGGGTCCAGCTCCTTCCGTGAGACCGCTCTGCCCTCCCCTCCAGCTGGCTGCAGCCAACCCACCTTTCCTCTCAGCAACACTGGTGTGTCCTCAGAGAGGCCTGGATGTCCCCTAAGGGTGGTCTCCCTTTCTCATCCCGCATGTCAGCTGCAGCCCCACCAGCTCTGTGACTCCAAGCAAGTGGTTTAGCACCCAGACTTTCCACTTCCTCCTCTACAAGATAGAAGGGAAAGCCTCGCAGGGTTGTGAATGCTAAATGAGATGACAATTGCCTAGTAAGTGCTCAGTAAATGCTAGCTATTGTTATTTTTCTATTATTATCACCCCAGGGCCTATCACAAATACTTCATAAATACTGAATTAGTGGATAGATGGATAGATGGAGGGATGGAGGGACAGGTGGGTAGAGGAACGGATGCAGGGACAGATGGATGGAGGAATGGATCCAGGGATGAAGGAATGGGGGGGGGGGTGCAGGGACGAAGGGACTTTCTCCCTAGTGTCCAGCACAGGCCTGGCAAAGGGTGGGCCTCAAGCAGAGATCAGCTAAAGACTGAAACATCATCACCCCTCTCTCCTGACCCACCCTATAGCCCTGCAAGAAGGCTGGCCAAGGTGGGCACAGCCCTTGTAAAAGGGGGATTCCAGGGGCTCCCATCCATCCTCCTCCCAGGGAAGCAGGCCCAGCATGCGGCTGGCCTGCACTGGGGGAGAACAGCTCTGCACCAGGGACTCAGCTGGAACAGGCAGGCAGCAAAGCACCCCAGAGGCACTCAGCGGTGAAATGCTGCATTTCACATAAAGTGGGTTTGCAATGGGCCCTGCTCGGAGAAATCAGGGAAACTGGGAACACAGCGCCTTCTTTTAATACCCATTTAATATTTATGGAGCCGCAGCAGCGCGTCAGCCACCGTGCGAGAAGGCAAGCGTTTCTCTGCCGCGCAGCCCATCCGCAGAGGGGAAGCCGCATTTCCCAAACAAACAGCTTGTAGCTGGGAAGCATTTACACCTGGTCCACAAAACCACGCAGCACTCGAGCAACGCAGAGTGTGCTGGGACCCAACGCAGGGAGACCCCCAGGCTTCCATCCTGACTCTCATCCAGCAGGGTGACCTTGAGCAAGTCGTGCATCCTCCATGGGGGTGGGTCAGAGAGATGGAACCAGGGAGGAAGGGTGGAATGAATGAATGAAGCACTACTTATTCAACAGACATCCACCCCAGCCCTGCGCCTCTCTCTCTTCCCAGGTGCCAGAAAGAGCGATGGAAAAGCAAAGATCCCTGCCCTCAAGGAATGGGGGAGGGGGTAAAATTAATGCCTTAGTAAAGAGAAGAAACACTTTCAGATAACATGGGGACCTGGGAGGAAACAGAACAGGGTAAGGGGGTGATGAGTAAGGGAGGAGGGGTTTGCTTTAAATTGGATGATGACTAAGAAAGGCCTATCTGAAGAGGTGATGTCACCTCACACAGGACTGATGAGAGAAGCCAGCCACACCCAAACCAGGGGAAAGAGAACTGAGGCAGAGGGAATGGCAAGTGCAAAGGCCCTGAGGCAGAGGTGGCGTCAGTAAATGGCCTCACTTTTACTATTGCTGTTGTTGGCCCTGGCAGCTTCTGTAGTGGAGAAGAGCCTGGACTGTGAAGTCAGAGGAAGCAGTAATCAAATTCAGCCTCAGGAACTGCTGAGCTATGGGACACTGGGAAAGTCACTCAACCTCTCTGTTTCCACTTCTTCATTGGTGCCCTCAAGGCATTTCAGAAGGAACATAAGGAGCCATGTGCCTGCCCCTCCATAAAGGCCCAGTGTGCCCAGATCAGGTCTGCCCAGTCCAGCACTTGTTGAAAAATTCCCTCCATTTTTTAGGACTTGTTCTCTGATAGAAGGGCTCCCTTTTCTGTTTTCTTGTCAAAGACACATATTTGTTGGTCCTTAGGTACCACAAGTTGAGTTGGACCCAGGCACTCAACAGAAAACCTGGGCTTTAGCCAAGACACCAAGGAAAAGAGCCATTAGACATGGACCACGTGGAAAGTGGATTCTAGGAATGAGGTTGGACTCCAGGCCCCCACCCCAACCTGTGTACCTGTGCTTCTCTGACCGCACGCCGCCCCCGACCTTCTCTGGCCTTCTGTTGGTCTTGGCCCTCCATCACCATGGCCACACCACACCCCCCACCAGAAGGAATATCCTAGAACTCCCTGCCATTCCCTCTGGCACACCAAGCCTCTCAGGGGAAGCCCAGTTCCCCAAGTCAGCCCCAGAGGCTGCACTCGGCCCCCTCTCACTTCTCAGGCCCCACTCAACTACTCAGGGGTTCCCTGGCAGAGCAAGAGCCACACCTCAGAGTCTCCACACATACTATCCCCTCTGCCTGGAGAGTTCTGCACACCACACCACCCCCACACTCACCCCATTTCCTGACCCCTGCCCATACAGACTCAGAGGGCTCAGGGCATTGGAGATATCTTCCCGGGCTGCCCCTGAAGGTCAGGAGCCTCTGCTCACAGCCCCTCAGGTCCTGCACATAGTTTGGTTCTGTGTCTGAGCTAAATGAGAAGCCAAGAATAAAATGAAACATGAACAAACCAACAAATGGATGGACAGATCGACCGACGGACAGATGGGGAAAACTGCACCAGCCTTTGCATCTGACAGTCCAGGTTCAAAAGCAGCTCCTCCTGCAGCCTAGTTTTTCAACTGCAAGCGGTGGACACTAAAACCTCCCTCTGGGGACTGCTGGGATCAAAGACACAGGAGACACAGCAGCCCTTAGCCAGGGGCAGCACACAGTAGGTACTTACTAAATGTCTCTTCTACTCCTGTTAGAAATTTCTGATAAAACCCAGAAGCTCCTCAAGAACTTTGGAGAATCCAGCAGAGAGTTTCAGGGAGTCAAGCAACATTCCCATGCCGGGTCCCCAACCACGGCGTGGAGCCGGGGGACTGCGGGAGGGTGCTAAGAATGAATACGGCCAGTATAGCCCCCAACTATGGCATGGAGTCTAGGGGCTGCGGGAGGGTGCTGAGGCCAAATGTGGCCAGTACAGCCCCCAACCATGGTGTGGAGCCTGGGGGCTGCGGGAGGGTGCTGAGGCCAAATGTGGCCAGTACAGCCCCCAACCATGGTGTGGAGCCTGGGGGCTGCGGGCAGGGTGCTGAGGCTGAATACGGCCAGTACAGCCCCCAACCATGGCATGGAGTCTGGGGGCTGCGGGCAGGGTGCTGAGGCTGAACACGGACAGTACAGTCTGACCTTGTTTTTTCCAAGAAAACTCTTCACTACCCCTCTCACACAAGCACTGGTCAGCTCCAAAACACGCTGTTCTCTGGGCCAGACCCTGTTCTGAGACCCAAATAGATAAGAAACGAGCCCTCAAAGGGCTTAGACCAGTGGAAGCAAACAGACAGATGAACAGACCTCCTCAAAACCCCAGTATGAGCAGAAACAGTGGAGGGGCTCTGTGGGGACCCAAGAAAGCCCCCACCAAACCAAGGCCAGCCAGTGTGCGCAGAGGGCCACAAGGGAAGGCACGGAACAGGGCCTGGGCTCACGTGGGGCATCTCAACAGCAGGTGGATTTTTGCAAAGCAGAGCGTGGTCATTCCAGTGGCCCATATCTATCCAAAGATGTGTCAAGAAAATCTTGGAGCATTTGCACTGCCTGGATGGCTGTTGACCCACACACCAAAGACATACCTACTTTGCAGAGTGAGGTTCTGGTACCACTGTTACCAGCATCCGCTCTGGCTCTCAAAAGTGTACTGATTTGGAAGGTCAAGGTCACTTTTAATGAAAGACAACATGAGACTATTAAGGCAACTACCCTCCAAAAGCCACCTCCATTCATTGGCATGTCTTCAACAACAGCTGTGAGGCTAGGACAGTATTGTGTTGTCCTGCGCCCAAAACTCAGTTGACAATCAACAACCACAGAGGGACGACTGTCTCATTAAACATGAGAAACTGCCAGGGAAACATCCCCACCGCAGCCTTCCTGGCTGCAGCATTCTGGAGAGCCCCATGCTTGGGTAGATTCTGTCAGGACTCCAGCCCCACCTTTGCTCCAAGTCCGTTTCACGTCCTTTTCCTGTGAGCAGGCTCAGCCTCCCCAACTGGGCACCCAAAGCACCGCGGCTTTTCTCGCAGCTGAAGGCTCAAAGCGGTGTGGGGAGAGAGCCGCTCAGCTCAGCAAAGGCACTGCTTGTTTGCTGAGGCTTTTGTTGCAATGTGGGGAAATGTCACAGAAAAAACACACTAACACCTCCTAAGTGGTCCCCCCAAGCAAAATGCAGGAGATAATATTTAACAGAAAAAGTACCAAGCTGCAGGGGCTTGGGGAGAATTCTTTTACAAGCCGTGATTCCCACACAAGCTCAAAAATCACTTTTAAATTGTATTTTCTCTCCTTGTTTGGCTTGTGCCCGAAAATATGCAATGGATTAGTCAATAGCGGAAAATGTCAGAAAGGGTAAAAAATAAATAAATAAATAAAGAGAGACTCAAAGGAAAGGAAAAGAAACAAACAGCCCAATGGAGAAAAACAAATCAAACCCAGTCCCACCGTGCCCTAAAATGATGGACCCTGACGTCTGACCTCCCTCATTATCAACTATGGGTTTCCAAGGGAAAAAGCTATTGGCCTGCAGCTGGTATTAGCAGCTAAGCTGAATGAGTTGATGAGCTAAGTAGATGAAGGAATCCACAAATATAGTGAAAATTAGACCCTATTCCTTGAAAAAGGATCAACCACAAGTGACTTTAAAGCATTTACCACTTAAAAACCTTTTAGCTGGGCCCATTTTGAATTATGACTACATGATTTTAAATTACACTTTCTAATTCCTCCCCACCACCACCCCAGCAGTCTCTGCCGCCTCATTTTCCAATTATGTACTTTTATTTCAGAATATGAAGAGTGCTACTTACTGGATCATGTCCTGTCTGCCACAAATAGCTGCTCACTTATTCCTTTAATTTTAGACATGAATGCAGTCGGTTTGCCCGGCTTGTCTTCAAATTCTGAGTATCCTCTATTCCCATTGCACAGAATGAGGCCCGAGATGCAGAGAAACCCACAAAGCTCGGGCAGAGAAATATGTTTGTAAACCAGTGCTTCACTCCATAAATTATTATAATTCTTGGTGCTTTCTATATCCATCTAGCAGATCAGCAATCACATAAATAATAGTGAGTAGACTGATTTTTTCTTCTGCAAAGTGCTATGTCCTAGTTTTCAAAATAAAGCACTTGGAGAAGAATCACGTATCTGTGAGTTGAAATGGGAAACTGCTCAGATCCATCTCAAACACGCACACAGATGTATCACACACGAAAGGAAATAAGAGGTAAACGTGTAGAGATCAGCATTCTCGGTCCCCTTCCCGCAGACACATCAAGTCACACTCAACATGAATGGGGGTTTGGGACATGGGTGGTTGGGGGGAAAGAGTCAAGAGGGCCGTGGTTGCTCAGCACGCAGACACAATTTGCAAAGAAAGTAAATGTGGATTTACAGTTCTCGTGGAAATCTATTAAACAGATGTCACTGAAGCATAATCAAATCGGCACTATGGTAATTCCACACTTAAGTCTAAGATTGGGGTTTTGCCATTTTTATGATCAGTTCGACTGTATTTTTTGTGATCGTGCAGGAATTTGCAATTAAGGATTAAACCTGCAAAGTATGAGCAATTAACTGATGTGTCTGAACGACAAACTTAAGAAAGCAAAACTCCATTCTCCAACCCCCTGCTCATTCATGCAGGGATCCTGGGGTAGGCTAAGGGGCTGGGGGGGCATGTGGCTTTCCCGTGAACACCAAAATGCTAAAAAGGGCTTCACTGTGAAAGGAGAAAGGCGAAAGGCAGGGTGCCGGGAAGGGCTTACATCTCCCGGGCAGCCGGTGCGATCGATTTTGCAGTCTTGCAGACTTCAGTACCATCCAGAAAATGCAAAAGAATGAAATGAAGGCGAACCGATGAGAGTGTTAGAAATTGGAAGCAGACATCATTTTCTCCTCTGAAGTGATGAAATTGGCTTGGGTGATGCCAAAAGTCTTTTCATGTGCATCAATGCTGTGAGCCTCAAATCTTTCTTGAAAGGAGGGAATAGAAATGTGAAGATGAGCCATTGACAGGGGACATCACAGAAACAAACTTTCAGGTGCAGACTGGGGTGACAGGAAGGGGAGCCACCTCTCGCCTGACTCTGAAATGGACGCAGATCACAATCAACCGGAGGAGAGAAATTTTTTTTTCTGCAGTTGCTTCTATGTATGATGATTACTAAGTTCTGACATTAATCTGGCCAAGTTCAGGTCCAAGAACCCCCCCTCCATAGGGGTAGTTCACAAAAAGTCACAGAAAGACCAAGGAATATCTCATGTCACCACTGGAGTTCAAAACTAATACAAATAATCTCAGTTTGTTACAACTTGTTTCAGGAGATTGGGCTGCCCTCATCCGTCATAGACATTTTAAATAGAAATACAGCATAACTAAGTCTCATTTCATGGGGGAAAGTCAAAATAAAGTAAAACATTTATGTTGGCTGCAGACTGCTCAGGACACCAGAAAGAACCACAGTGACTCAATCAACCGAGAAACTATTTATATATTTATATCCTCCCCCTAACGCAACCCCTCAAAAGGGGGCTCTTATTTTTTTTCTCTTATGTTGTTTTTGCTTTTGACATTTTAGTCACCTCTTCAGACCAAGTCAAACCCTGGCAGTCTGAAGAGGATGCTTGCTGGTGGTCTCACTATGTGGGGACGTCCACACACCAGGGCCCCGAGTTGCAGTGAGTTACATTAGAATGCCCCCGGGCAGCCTACACTAAGCAGTTCTTCCTTTACCCCCACCCCCCGTCTTCTCCCTGACCCCCTCCAATGTTGGGCACAACTGGACCTAGACCATGAGGCATCCTGACCAGAAGAACAACCCCACAAACAGGCCTGTGTCTTATCAGAGGAGCCACCAACTTCAACCTGTGGGCACAGAGCCAGCCTGAGAACCTATTCTTGGGCCTCTACACCTGGGGAGTCCCTGGCCCCAGGACCCTCACTCCAGAGGTGCAGGGAGACATAGTTACATACTGCGGAATGGAAAGATCTCAGGGAGAGGAAGAATGGCAAGGGAAAATTCATGAAAAGACCCTTTTTTGTTCCCGATGAGGGAGGGGCGATTGGAGAGACATGTCACATTGTCACATTAAAGATTTTGACAGACAATTCAGGGATAAGGCAGAAATTCCACCCTTAACGGCAGCTCGCAGGAACTTGAAAGGCATTAACTAACCTCCACTAATTGCATGTTTTTCTGTGCATAATATTTACTTGTTAAAAGTCTTTGCCTGGGCGATTAATTTCCTCTGCCCTGCTATTCACGATCAGCTCACAGGCCTGAAACTAGAAAAAGGAAGTCATTTTGATAGATTAAAAGATGATTGCACTTTGGGGAAGGTTTTCTTTTTTCCAGAAGTCCAGAACCCACACCCGGAATGCTAATTTTTCCCATCAAATGCTTCCTTCAGTGAAAACCAATGGCCATCCTTAACCCTTCCAACAAGTGGAGAGAGATGTGTCCCAGATGAGGGGTACATACCAGGGGCCCCACTGCCTGCCTGGGAAGGTAGCAACTTTAAGGGAGAACAAATGAACTTAAATCATTTTCATTGGATGAAGATTTAATAGTCTCATGAGTGGACTGGGCAATTTCAAAAAGCAGGCTTTTCTTAAATGATCATTTCTTATGTTGGTCTGTGTATTCCTGACAGTTTGGGCTTGAGAAGAAACACCCAAGATACCATCATTTCCCTAGACCTAGACCTGATCTACTGTCCATAAATGCAGCCCACAGGGCATCACCTGGTGGGGTGGGGGCAGGTGCCAAGTGATTCTAAGCATACATGCAGCGGCCACACGAGATGCTTCCCCTGACTTGTAGATGACACTCCGAGCCTACCTGCGTCAACGTCACAGGTATCTGATTCAATCCAGGTCTTCCGAAATTAGTGAGAATAAATAGGAAGGCGTCCCACGCCAAAACACTTCCGAACACACGATTAAATCTCCGTGACTGGATTATCGCCTTTTGACTAGCCATCAGCCAATTAATGTGCCTCTAACGGGTGAGCACTCGAATGGAATGGATGTAGCCATTCTTAAGCTGAAATCCATCTTGAGAAAAAAGATTTTACAAGTGCTATGGGGCTGCCACTCAGAAAGCCAATTTGCAGGGATCCGGATACGGAGGAGCGCGGCTCATTGTGCTGGCCCCCATGCTACAGGCCCTGCAGACTGTGCTGGGCTCCAGACGGCATTCTGGTCACCACCAGCTCTAAAGCCCTGGCATCCTCCCCTGTCTCAGCCCAGCCCAATCCAGGAGACCCCACCCCAGATGGTCTCTTGGAGTCCTGGCTCCGGTGGACAGAGGCCTTAATTCCAGCCAGGACTGGTGGTCATGCTGGTGGCCTCCCTGACACCCCACCAAAAGCATGTTTAGCCCTATACCAGATTACTCACAAAGTTGGCTTCTCGGTATTTATTTTTTTTAACAAAGTCCAGTCAGAGCATTAACAAAGCGTGTGTGTCTGCATGGCCCTGTCCCCCCATCCCTGCAAATCCTGGCCATTCAACTCCTGTAGAACCAGCTCACTTTTGTTCCCCTCAGTTTAATTTCATAATTGTTTGCCACTTAACAAGCTCTCCTCCGGGGTCCATCAACCAAGCTGTGGACATGGGGAGGTGGGAGGCAAAGAAGCTCCTGGATCTGAAAAAGAGGCCAGTCCAGCTCTGGGGAAGAGACGTCCCAGAGAGGTTAGCTGGGCAGGAGTGAGGACCAGCTCCAGAATGGGGCCTCCAGAATGGGGCCTCCAGACAGCCTGACGGGCCGATGGAGGACGGTGGGTCTCCAGCCTCCTGGACACATCCCCTCTGACGACCCTCCTGTGGTTTGCCGGGGTGAAGGGAAACGGCATGAATTTGCTCCCGCATAGCGCGTCCCAGAACAAACACACACGAGACGGAACTGCTCCTGGGCACTGGCACTGCGTGAAATGCCGCCTTGGAGGGCTGGGACCTGTCTGGTTAGCCAGTGATTCCCCGGCTGGGCACACAGCAGGCGGCAATAAGTATGTGTTGAATGAGTGAGCGGATGGATAGATGGACAAATGAAGGCTGGACGGAAATGGATGAAGTTTCCAGCAAAATCTGGTGAAAGTGACCACTGGACCAGCGTCAGACTCTCCTCCCTTCCCCCAAGTGCCAGTAGGGGCTTCGCTGCGCACAGTAGGCGCTCCACATTCAGTGTCCGCTATTGTTACTACCGTCGTCGTCACTTGCACCCCAGCAGCCCCCTTCTTTCACCAGCTACTCCTCCAGCAGCCAGCAGCGACCGCCAGGCGGGGGAAAAGTTTCGCTGACCCCGCGGCCCCAGCCCGAGTGCTGCGCCCGGGCCGAGCCCCCTCCCGCCCGCACCCGCTCGGCAGGCAGGGCAGCCCGGCGCCTGCACCCGGCAAAGGCGGCCAAAGTAACTTTGCGGGCGCCCCTGCGCTGAGCCGCGGGCGTCACCCCGCGCCTGGAGAGGGTCCCGGCCGCGCCCTCGCCCGGCCTGCGCCCCGCGCCCCGCTCCCGTCGCGCCCCAACCCGCGTCCCGCCCGCCCCCGGCCCTACCTGGCCCCGGGCTCCTCTTCGGCGGCCGCGGCGGCCGCGAGCAGCAGCGCGCACCGAGGGAGGCAGGGGCTCCCGGGAGGGAGGCGCGCAGGGGCGGGGGCTTCTCCGGCGGCGGCCGCCTCGCCGCGCGTCCG